AAACGCACCACAACATTGGGGAAAAATGCACCGCATGCATAACCCCTGCAAGTAGATAATGCAAAGGGATGATACAAATGATTATTCCTTTATGTTACATCATAAATAAGGTCTCAATAGAGTGTTAAACTGTGATTCATCAAGTAAAAATATACGAAAAGTGTTCGTTCAACTTTTTGCGATAAATGCTGTTAAAAGCTTAATTTCCTGTCGACGGTTTTAACAACTGTGTCATATTTTGCACAAAAGGCTATTTTTTAAAGGAATCAGTAGGTCAATATATGATTTTAGGATCAAGAATCAAGAGACCCCATCAAGCAATTGAGCGCCTATTTATCTTCTCCCTCGCTCGCAATGGGAGGACTGGACTTCCTTCCCACAAACTTTTGCCAGCCCTTGAGAAGGGGTGGTAGTTGTCTACTCGAGCAGTATATTTTAATTTAATGGGACATGCTCTAATGTTACAATGATTGTCTTATAAGATATGTCTTTTAGTGAACAATAGTCATCACGAAAACAGGTATATTTTAATGGATTTTCTTATAGTGCAAACTTTTATGAAATTCCATTAGTTTCTAGATGTCTGTTCCCACCCATATCAACAGTTTTTCATCATAAAATATATCATATACATCTTACTCACCGCTTAACACGTTCGAAGCAAAGGAATATCATGTACTAAGTATTCATTTAATATCACAATCATAGTTTTTAAGTGATAATCCAATGAAATCTATAAATAATCATGTAGATTGAATGAATCATCTTACATTGCTATGCTATAAGATGGATCCAATAAACCGCAAACCTTGCTTTGTATCAGTGTATATTTTTATAAAAAAAATACGGAAAAAAATTTCAACAATTAACTTGCAAATACTTCCACCCTTCATCGATGAAAGGACGGCCATAAAGAGGATTCGTTAAGGATGTAACGAAAGAATCGTTTTCAAATAAGAACCAATAATGAATTCAACATTAAAATACTAGTCAGGTAACACTACCAACATCGCAGTGCACTCACTGCTTGTCGCGGGGTACTTGTCGTATTTGCACATCTATCGTCTACTTGCTAATCTTTCCCATTGCCGAAACCGAAAGAAAACAGTAGAATCAATAGCGCCGTAACTTTTCACCATCTTTCCCAGCAAATGCAAAACCTCTGTTCCTAAATCGAAACTTAGAACCCGTCCGTTAAAAGCCAAAGCTAAATCGCAACTTCTCATGAAAAATGATAACCCGTAACGTGGCTAGATCACCTTTTCGTGGTACGTTGCGGGATGTAAGATCTACCACCGATTCCTAGTCTTGACTACTTCAAAGTAGAGGAACAAGATTTTTCAGTAATCAAAGAAACACATCTTAGTCCTTGTTACTTTTCATGCCTTGTTGATAGTGATTGGCTTTGTCCATTGGCTTTGTCCACCGAGGATGATCTTGATACAAGGAAAAAATGAGTTTGTTGGTCTTCATCTATGTGATTCCTAATCTTCTATTATTTGTTCCATAGTTTGAAGTGGTTAAGACAAGGGTTCTGATGCATGGTCATTATCGGTGGCATCGCTTTTTTTGTTGTTAAGGAATTCAATTTTGACTGACAAAGGGGCGCGCCTTTGGAGGGTGTTCCAAATAGGGTATAAATAGCGGGACCTTTAAATTAGAATCGATTCCTTACGATGAAGGCAAGAGTGACAACTGTATCAGACCCGAATACTTCATCATTTCTGAATAGTGATGGAGTAATACGACATGCACTAAACTAAGGACACGGGATATAAAGTCTGGAACGCGCAAAAATGGGTCAACTTCAAACTGGTGTATTTCTGTTAAAAATGCAAAAAAAAACTACAAGGGACAGCCCTCTGGGGTTGTACGCAATGGCAACGTAGGACTACGTGGTCTTATATAATAAATCTTATTTTCTAACTTCAGCAGTAGCTTGTGTTTTGTGTTGGAATAGGAATTTGAGCGGGGTTTTCTCTGTTTATACTCTTTAGTATGACGTGCTTGACATAAATGGCCCACAGAAACTCACGAAGAGCTACTGATTCCGATCAATAGCGGTGCGGCTTCTTCTTCCTTATATAGATGCTCATATATGGGCTGCAGCTCGCTGCTTGCAGACAGCTTTTCGTTGTGTACTGGAGAACAACGTTCAACGTCACGTACCAAAAGCTCTGCTGCTGCTGATGCCGACGATCGGACACCACCATACACGATAATTTGAACTGAATCTGATCAGCGGTTGAGGTCAGCCTTGATCGCTAGCTGCTTGCGGGGAGTCTTTCGTTGTGTACTGGAGAACACCACCACTCACCACGTGGTGATTGAATAAACACCGTTTGGTGAGACCGGATGTAATTTAACTTTGACATCTGTGCTAGGGAAATCGATTTTCGCAGGCAATCGGTGATAATTTTAATTATCATAGCAACAGTTGCACATTCGTGCATTTTTCAATAGTGACATTTTTAAAAATGATATAATCTTAAATTTATCTTTCATAATTTTGTTACATGTTCCATTTTGGGTTTTGCACAAAATGTACCTCAATATAGAAATCAAAGACGTTGTCCTACGTCAAAAACCTGAAATGCTGCATTTGGAAGTTGAGTGTATATAAAATGGTTGCTATGATGAGTTTTCACCGTTTGCTCTCCAGTTTTCAAGACAAGCAACGTGTTAAAATTTTGCTCGCGCAGCAAGAGAATCCGATGTTCTCACACGCCAAGTTGGCTAAATTGCTGGATTTGGCCAAATCAACCGTGACAAACGTTTTAAAAGTGTTCGGAGAAGAACACCGCCAGGAAGCCTGGAAGCGGCGGCAATCGTAATCCGGACGTGGCAGCGACGACGAAGAAGGTGGCGGTGAAATATAAGCGGAATTCTAACCTCTCCATCTGGGACGCCGCTGGAAAACTCAATGTCTCCCATACTACTGTGCAGCGGGCCAAGAAACGAGCCGAGTTGTCGACGTTTCAGAAGGTGAAGGTGGCGAACCGAGATTACAAACAAAACACGTCGGCAAAGCAGCGGTCCCGAAAGCTGGCCGGACTTGGCGAGCTACCACTATGGGAAAAAAGCAATCGAGTGGTACGATGCGAACAACGTGTTTGTGGTACCCAAAGACCACAACCCTCCCAACAGCCCAGAACTGCGCCCTATCGAATTGGGGCCTTGGTCAAAGGGAATCTAAAAAAAAACTGATAAATCAAAAAAAAAAGAGAAGCAGTTTAAATCTAACTGGCGTTCGGCGGCGAATAAGGTCGATGAGACCACTGTGCAAAATTTAATGGAAGAGGTTAAGCGGAAGGCATGGCAGTTCGGATTTGGCAAACCAAAAGAATAAACGAACATTTTTTTCCTTTAAATGTATTGAACTATCAAAAGAAAAATAAGAAGATTTTTGTGATATGAATTTTGACTGAAAGAAACGATTTTTTTGTCGACCAATTTTTGCGCGTTCCAGTCTTTACTACAATAGATCAAATTCCTGGTCGCAGTAGTGTTATGTCCCGAACAGAAAAAAGGTTTAAAATTATGGACGCTTTCAAATAGATAATAATCGTAAAACAAGAACTTTTTTTTTAAATTTTTGAACTTTTTTTAAACCGATTTTTCATAAAATTTATACTGAGGAAACAATGTCTAAATTTTAAATAATTTTATGTGATAAAATACACAAAAATGTGTAGTATAAAAACGTTTAAAATTTTGATCACAATTTCTTGTTCAATTATTAGTATTGGTTTTCAAGTGTCCATGGTTTTAAACATTAAAAAAATCATGATTTATTTTTCAAAAAAAAAAAAAAAAAAAATTAAAAATTGGACAAGGGAATTTTGAGACCTAGGCATTTAAGTTTTTATTTAATTTTTAATGTTTGCTTCAAATAAATAAGAAAACATTTTTCTCTTTCAAGGACGCCATTTTTAAAATTTTACAAGATCTAAAATGCTAAAAATGTGAATCATTGCCCATAGCAAACAATTGGGTTCTTTAAGGGTATTGAGGTAAATGCATATTCGTAATCTGCATTAAAAATGGAACCCAAACCCAACATTTCATAATTTTTGGTACACTGGAACTATTTTAAATAAGAACGATTACATTTGCAAAAATCACCTCATTAGCGCCCCTCGGTGTCACTTTGTATGGGAGCGAGCTGTCAGTTTGTCAGTTTAGTGTCAAACAGTGAAGTTATTATTTTGCTTTAAATCTTGATTTTAAAATCGAGATGAAAGTGTGTGGGTTCGAAAAAAATATCGCTGTGCTCAGAAAACGAAGTTCTTTCAGATGATATATAAAAACCTATATATTTTTCAAAATTAAAGAACCCTATTACGCAAAGTCAAAAAATCAATTTCTTTTCGTTATTTTACCTAGAACTGCTCAGGACAAAAAAAATCAAATCTCTCCAAAAGTTGTTCATGATGGACTGCGGTCAAATGTGTGATTTAAATATTCTTAATTCTTCATTTAGTTCAAAATTAGATATCAGCAAATTTTAAACCGTTTCACTTAATAAAACAAATTACGTTCTTATTGCAGCTTAATTTCGTTTATTCCAACATGATTTCATAATATGCACACCTGCGACCCACTTAAGGACAGCTTAAGTATTTTACCCCACCGTTTTCGGAGTGTTAATTTGGTTCAATTAGTCTCTTACAGTATCTGAGTTTATTTCTTAATTTTCCATCAAACTTCCTTCTTTAAAAGTCGTACTAACATTACGCCCATGGACCAGTAACATTCACTACTCACAAGTAATCATTCCTGGGAAAACTGCGTCAGCATTCCCGCCCAAGCAAGTCAATGCGTGTTAGTGTGCATCCCAGGAGTGGTATAGTTGTGTATGGTAGGTATAGACTCCACATCGTCAACCGTGTTGTTGAGGGGCTGCCCGTGGTTTTCGATTTCCCTTTCGCCATGCAACAGTTTTTCCGCCACACTCTATAAAAGAGCGTGAAATCTCTTCGAGCCAGTTTAGACTGCTTTCAACAACGTGTTCGAGCGAGCGTTCTGAGATTGACCGATTGATTGCCCGGTAGGATTCAAGTGGCTTAACGTCTGCCAGGTGGTATCGCGGTGTGTTTGTGGTGCACATTTGCTGCTTTTGTCCCAGGAAGGATAGCCTATCTGCCGGTGCTGATCTTCAGAATCCGATAGTGACGGCGAACGATGGTGACGAATGGAATAGTGAATAATTTACACTTCTAAACACCGCACCAGCAGCAGCAACAGCGAGGTGATTGATCATTGCATGTGTGCAACCGAGTGAAATTGGCGCGCTAACCAAAGGAGTCAGAAATAGTTTATGTTTAATTAGGTTCACAATTGAATCAGTGCAGGATAATCATGAAACGAGTAATGCTTCAAATAACTCTGTGGATGGTGCTTTTGGATTCTAGTTTGGTGATGGGAAAAGCGATCAATGGCAAGACGAAATCGAACTCGATGCATAGTCAATCTTTGGAGGTACCTAAATTGATGGAAGTGCAATACGACGACTATCCGGTAAGAAAGTGGTACTTTTATGTGTTTATACGAGACCGTTGTCACATGTTTCACTACTGTTGCAATATCTTGGATAATGTTTAACGGATTTCCGGTGTTTTTATCTTGGTGGAAAGGATATCCGTTTCCTTTTGTTGTGGTTAAATTGGTCGTGTCACATGGTGGTTGGTACAATGTTAGTTTAATTTTTGGATAATATGTCAGCCGTTTTAGCATATCAGAACTGATTAATTTATCTTTTTTTTTCCCTTGATTTCCGTGCTGTGCACCAATGCTACCGACGCCAGGGAGGGGGGCTACAAAATTGTGAGTTGACTACCTGAAAAAAGCGGAATACATCACAAGTTCCTACATCACGCCTCCCCGAGGCACGTATTTAGACTACAATGTGCAATCTTCATCAGTGTCATTCCCACTAAATAACTTATCAAAACCTACCCCCCTCCACTCAATAGTCCTATCAGGCCTGTTTCAGATGAGTTGATGCTAGACAGCAGCGCTGTTTTGTACCTTTTCAGGTTAAAGCAGAATGATTTGCAACCAAGTGGTACTCGATTATGACAACTGGGTTTGAAAAGAACGTTTATTTCATGAAAACAGTGATAAAATAATCACTTTTTATTTGTACATTGAAAAATGCTTGACATTACCTTTTTTCAATAATTTCTTGTTGAAAATCATCAGTCAGAAGCTTTGCTATTGATGCGTAGAGATATTTCTGATTGATTGGTGATAAACTTATTGAAATTGGTCCAGGGGCTTAATGTTGAAAATCTTTCATCAATTTGTTACATGTTCCATTTTCGGTTTTCACAAAGTGTATCCCCATTTAGAAATCACAGACGTAGTCCTACGAAAAAAAGTGAAAACTGAAACTGCTTACTACCTAAATATCTTTTGACATTTTTAATCATAATTATTTGGTATCGATTTGGGAAATCTTGTTGAAAATAACGCAAACCAAAATGAACGATTTTTAGCCGGACGGCTTAGAAAGTGACGTTATTATTATTTCTAAGTAAATTCCAAAGTGCTGAATTGATCAACTATAAACTGACGTTATAAATCCAGGCGCTTAGAGCCCAATTTATCCATGTTATCTTACAATTAGTTATAATTTCAACTAGGGCCATTTACTGGAGCTAAGGCCAAAACTGGCTCACATACCCCACATGAAACAAATTAATTCAATTATGCTGAAATATGAGTAACTTAATAGCTATCAACAATAGGCTTACACAAAACAAAAATTTCAATTTTACTGGTGATGTAAACGTCCATGCCTGCAAATATTCATGCATGTAAACTTCATGTTAAGACCAACAACTTATAAGACATGTTGCTTACAAAGATGGATGGTTATATACAATTTATGGAATATCTCATGACATGTCTCATAAATTTACACGATATATAAAGTGAACTTGTATGATATATTACGCTCCATTTATGTGCATCATAGTAACATACACTACTTTTTCGAACTGTGTATAGTCTCCAGGACACATTTGTTTGTTAAGTCACGAATGACCCAAGAGCGTTAAAGTGACTATAACCAATAAAATAAAAACATTTGTTGGTTATAGAATTTCATATTTTTACGCTGTATTAAATCAACTACATGACATATTTCGATACCCACTTTTGATGATTGAATGTCATCAGGTGACCGGACATTAGTCATAAATACGTTTGCCATACGTACGATTGCCATAACGACGATAGCCATAATAAACGATAGCGATAATAGACGATAGCTATAATGTACCCGGTATATAGTACTATATGTATTTTGTCAACAAGCCCGAAAATTTAGTGTTGCCAAAACCGAACGGTTTTATTTGGAAATTTATTTTACGATTCCTATGATTTTGGGCCACCGAGAAGTAGAAAGGAATCATCTTCATGACTAAGACTTTACTAGTTTATATTTTATTGAAAATTATGATCGCGTGGAGCGAAAATACAAAATCTTCAAAACCCGTTCAATTGAACCCCTCCATACACAAAAATATGCTCCTAACGCTTCTAACGTATCGCACTAATAGGACTGTTTCCCCTACTGTACTCACAAACAATTTTTCTCTTTAGAAAAATGAAATCAAAATGCATTAATCATTTCTTGCTTTGAGTTGACTCCTTTTTTATATCTTGAGCTGTTCTTTGACAGATAAAAGCTTTTGAAAATTCTCGAAAGTAACATCTTCCTTGGACATGACACAAAAAAAATGTGGAAAATTCAATAGAAATATTTACAAATAATTCTTCTCTTTAAAATTACTCCTTCTGTATATGATGAGCAGTTCTTTGAAAAATAAAATAGTTGTAAAAATTCAATTTAAATAATCACAAATTATGTTTCTCTTAGAATTGACTCCTTCTTTACATCATGAACTGTTCTTTGACAGATAAAAAAGTTTGAAAACTCCAATTGAAAATTTTCAAAAGTAACAGCTCTCTTGGAGTTGACTGCTTATTTACAGCATAAGCTGTTCTTTTGTTTTTTTTTTAAATGAAACATTCAATTGAAGTATTCATGTACATCTGACAGCAAACATGTATTTGAAAAATGTTAGTTAATTAGATTATAAGAGTTATGGCAAATGTCCAATATGGCTATCGTACATTATGCCTATCGCCCACATAAGAAAATAACAGTATGGCTGACGTCAATTCTGGCACTCATCCGTATGGCTAATGGGTCATCATGTCATCATGTCATTATGCACCTATACAAACGTGAATTAAGAAAATTGAAAAGAAAGATTCTCGAAAATAAAGCAAGCCATGACATATTTTTGTCATATAGTAGGGACCCAAATAAATTTGTAAATATGCACCGACTTTTAATCCGGTGGTTTCATTTTTAGTTAAATATTAAATCCACTTTTTTAATTACTTTATTTGATAAGGTTCAACCGAATTAACTTTACAGAGCCGAGGATTCTTGTTCACTATACAATACATCTTAAAACTAAAGTCAAAAGGTACAACACAATAAACATTTTATCTTTCGCTATCCAAAAAGCCTCCACCACCAGAACGGGAGCCGCTTTCAGTGGTTTCATTGTATGGCAGATTTGTCAACGGGGGTCAGAGCGCTTCCATTGCAGCAATATACGCAAAACGTGGAAAGCACTCATATATTCATCACGAAACGGTTGCTTTCCAAAGTCGACGACGCATCGACAGAAAGAACTGCTGATGAAGAACAATAAGGAGGACCACACAATGGTTGCTGTCTCCTTCTGTCGACAGCCGAGTGAACACTGTACATCCACTTTGCAACATAATAATTATGTTGGATGACCATGCACGATACTACAGAATCATCATAAAATTTAAGTGGCATTTGAATCATATTTGGCTTTGATAATCAACTTTTAAAAGTGTCCGGGTTTATGAACTAAGTGTCTAGATTCCGGTAAATTACGGTATTACATTTCGATGCATTAGAAATATTTGTTCAGCAATGAGTATCAAAAATAGACAGATTTCAAAAATCTCAACAGGGCTACCTCTAAATCTCGTTTTTCAGAGTTGCCGCCGAGATTCCATGCATATATTACGTAAGGTTTTTTAACATAAATTCTCTTACGTTTTCTTATACAGAAAAACAATCTGAATTTAAACTGACGCTTAAAATCTGCTCTCTTTTAATTTTAAGCTATAGTTCACTTAAACAACAAATTGATATAACAAGATTGCATACAACATTTATGATTTATATCACGTTAAAATTTACATGAAATATTGTGTGAATTTACGCCAAATCCAGCGTTACTAACGTGTGCGCTATATATATCGCAGAAATTTACATTAATTTTCCATTCAAGGGAGGCAGGGAATCTCAGAAGTACCTTTCGAAATCATGAAGAATACAGCTCATGTTAATGTTCGATCTTACTAAGGGGGAGCAGGTATAATAAAATCTCTACCAAACACTTCGTGAATTTTGATTATTGTGGATTATAATTTGATTTGCTGTGTTGTGATTAAAAATAAATTTTATTATTACGTCCAAGAGGATGCACTTCAATCATGTCGAAAATCTCATGTAATTTTTATGGCCACACAAATAAACAAATGCAGTAAAAGCAACGTAATGTAAGCTCATGCACTGTATTAATGATAATTTTGCCTTTTTGGCAAGTAATATAACACCATATTTTTGACGCGATTGAAGTGCATCCACTTTGATGTGATATCAAAATTAACTTTTTGCTGTGTATACCGATCAATTCAGCTCGAAGAAATCGGAAAATTTTTCTGTGTGGGTGTGTATGTGCATATTTGTGTAATTATATTGTATAATTCTTTAGATTTTCTCGGCGATTGCTGAACTGACACGTTCCGGTTTATGCGTTTCAAGCTCCCATAGAACCCAAATGATTTTCATCCCGATCTGACATTTGGTTCCGCAGATATGAACAATAATGTGAATGTGCCGTCGGAAAAGTGGTCATACTCGGCCATGAGTTTAAACATATCAAATCACATCACAAGGCAAGAACATGATCATTGGCACTTAGGTAATGTACCTAGGACCACATAGGCCTCATTTGAACATATTCCGGGTACCCTCAAGGAATATTTATTTATTTGTCGTCAATCAAGTGGAGATCGTTTTGTTACAATGATAATCACATTTTATGTCTAATTTAAAAAAAAATACAATAAGCATAAATATTTTCCAGGCTAAGTTGTATCTGCTTTAAGGTGTTTTACTGTGAAATCCTCATTTTCGCTACCACTTCGAAACTTTAAGTGCACAAATACCAGCTTCTACGACACGTACCACAATGAAACTGTTACTTCACGTTTGCTGTGCTGCAGCATACATGCAGTAGCAATTTCAGGTGAATAATTTTTGAGATTTGTGTAATTGAAAATTTTGTGGTGGATGTGCAAATGGCCAGACTATAAAGGAATCTACAAGGAATCACCTTAACACTGCATAATGTTCGCGTGTCGCGGTGCCGGTGATGTAGTTGTAAGCG